ACAGGCCCGGTGCACATGCTATAACAAATCTGCATGTAGCTAGCTCAATTTGATATTTTTGGACTGGTGGAAAATTTTGAGTTGCTGCGAAAAATGAAATCAAAAAAGTTTTTTATTAGATTATTTTAGATCCAAAAAAAGCAAAAAAATTTGTGTCCAAATATATTAGCATAAAATTTTGTTGTTTTTAAACTTTCACAACGCTTTAAGGAATGCTATTTGCCATCTAGTAAGTACTTACACTTTATGTATTTGATTTGAATCGCGCCGAGAATGAGCTGGTTTTCACACCATCGTGTCATGTGTTGTGCTTGCCTTTTTGTGTAATATTCAGGACAACATGGTCTATAGTAAATCTTCTCGGGATATCTCCGCTGTAAGATCCTTGTGGCCAAGTCGAAGTAGTTTGCGGATTTGTACGATCGTCGCTGTGCTTTTTTTCACGATGCTGCTAGTTTTTTTTATTCGTCCTCTTGAGCCTGTGGGTAATTTTGCCATGATGGCCTTTCGAGTGTACAAATCCCATCGTTTTTTGTATGGCAGCTGTTCTCATCACACGTGTTTTAATGTGGAATTGTGTAAATATGAATACCCAGACTCACTGCCCAACCGAATTCGCATATACGTCTATCCAGATTTACTATTCGTTGATGAGAATAATAATCGCATGAAGTACCATGGTGGTGGACATTTTCGGCAGCTTTTGGATGCGGTGAATTCAAGCAAGTATGCTGTCGGTGATCCGTCCGAGGCTTGTTTGTTTGTGTCGTCACTCAATTTTGATGAGAATTCTCTGTTGTCTTCATCTGAGTTACTCAGCATGTTCCTCTCTTTTCCATGGTAACGTCCATTTTCAAACACTCCAATTTAAGGATGAATAATCGGCGTAACCATCTAGTATTTGATTTGGATTATGGTCGATCATTCGATAATATTCGTTTCCCTTTGCAAAGCTTCCCTGGGATGGTTGCTGGTAGCGGCTTTAAATATTCAATTTACAGAACTACATATGATGTCTCTCTCCCCGTAGTAAGCAGTTTTCAACGCCCTTTGAGTACAAACTTGGAGTAGGTTTGCATTTTGCCTCTGTTATTAGTTAATAGGCGCGTGTTTTTGCTATCTGCAACTCAAGATCACTTTAGTAATTACTTCCAAGGCTACGTTGATAAATTACTTCAAAACCATTGGGAACACAACAAATTGCCGAGTGCCATCGTCAAGAGAGATCAGATATCTTCGATGTTTATGATGTTTCGAGCAAACGACTATTCTTACTCGAAGATTTCAATATCATTCAAAATGGTTTTAGCATCCAGTCTGTTTTGCCTCGTCGATCAAACGCATCCACCTAGCACTCTCTTATTTGACGTTATGCAAGCAGGTTGCATTCCCATTTTCCTAGGCTCTGATTTTGTCTTGCCATTTTCGGAAAAACTGGATTGGAGCAAGTAAGTCAACCTCATTTTCCATTAAGCTGCTCGCTTTGCATTAATTATTTCCAATATGGTCTTTTTTTGACATTGAAGGTGTTCATTGAGCATCCCCAAAAGTCAGCTTGAAAGCCTTGTTGATGTCATATCGACCTACTCCGAAGACGAGATAGTTCAGTTGCAGCACCACGTCAACTTTTTCTACTCGAAGTACATGTCTTCCCTAGCAGCTGTCATTACGACAGCTTTGGACATTATCAATAGTCGGGTCTTTCCACAAAATACTCCCTCATATTGTGATTGGAAC